AACGGCCGCTAGTCTGGACTTAGCGATTTCTACAGCATCCAGAGAATCTCGGGCGCGATCTCCGCTCGATTCGCAAGCGGCGCGTTTTCATCTCGAGGGATAACTGTTTTCACTGGAAGTAACTGTTCCGGATAAATTATGACTCGTTACAGGAAAGTGGTTATGCTCGAGGAGACTGCAATTAAGGCAACTGTACGTTAATACGCCGCCCTTACTCGTGCGCGCGTTTACTCTGCGCTATTTGCTACCGCAAATCTCCGTTGTGTGCGGTTTATGTATAAGTTAACCCAGTCAAAATGGCTATATACTAGACATATGTATTGAAAATCGTAATTATGTCTATCCCGAGCTGTACGAAGGCGCGACGCCGAATGAAATCGTTACACTTGTTGATGAAAAGCGTTAAAGCGTACGAGCATTTTTCATCTGCCAGAAAATTTTGAAAACGTAACGTATAACACGTGAATTTTTTTTTTAAGTTTGCAATTATAACAAGAAACCTTTTTGCGACATGTTTTCTCGCGTGGATGTGTACCGCATCATAAAAGTACTGTATATATGCACCGGACTGCCTATAGTGCCCTATAACGTGAGCGGAATTTTTACCGTCTATTAACGACTCTGTCTCTGAATACAACAAAAATAATGTGAATGTACTGTCCGAGGAAAATAAAACACCAGAATTTATGCGCATGTACAACATTCGCGCGTGCGAATGTTGCTCATTTTAGTCATGACTGCTTACCGGAAGCGGTGACTCACGGAACGGAGTGAAAACGCAATAAAAATGCGATTGTCTGCATTCAGTGACGCTACACGTGTTTTACATTAACATTGGATTCCTTGCGACTGTCTTCTAGAAAGTGTATTACTGAAATGGAAAGTGGCTTAATAATTAATCTCACATACTATATATATGAAAAAGATGCAAATTGCTCTTTAGCTCGAATATATTTTATTTTTTATTTTAATTGTTTCTGATATCGAATTATTTCTAATATTTTATCCAAAATAGCTTTATAAAAATTATGTTTAAGTGATACTTATGCGGAGATGAGATTGGATGAAAATAATATTTCATACATACAACTTTCCAAATTTTTGACTGATTTATTCATATATCATATATCATTATGTGGCATGATACAATATACGTTTATATTTATCCGGAATCGTATTTGCTAACGCTATAATAGCTTCAAGCAGGTCGGATATCGAAAATTGTATTCATTACGTTTGTCATTACAAGCAATCAATATAATATTATGAAATGAAATCATTTAACGGGGAATAATTGTGGTCTAATAGTAAACGATTTAATTATTTTAAATGATAGAACGTTATCTAAGAATAATGTCAGATGAGTGGTTACAAGTGCAAATAAATTGTTAAAATATTGAATAAGTCTCTCTATTTTTACTATGATTACAATAATCAGCTTTTGTACTAATTTTGTAAACGATTCGAAAGTAGTCCAGTGACTGTGAAGAATGACATTGTGTCGCAAGATCCTACAGCTGAATAGAATTATAAGATGTTGACAGATGGCAGGTACGCCACCTGTTACTCAGCTTATCTGATTTGTCTTTGAGTATCATTGCCGTGACATTATTACCGATTTATCTCTGATGGATTTTTATGGTATTTAATTTTTTCTACTAGTAAAT